AAAATACTTATTACATTAAAAGGTACAGTACATAGTACCTAAATGTATATGAACTTTTTTTCAGAAAATTTTGTATTCTACGTATTATTTTCTCTACCCTAATATTGTATATGGACTTGATCCATTTTATTGACTTTCAAACCAGTATGAAAAATATATTATCGCTTTTTTCTTGGAGTGACTGCTTATTGTAACAATTACACACTATTTATTTTTACAGCCAAAGCTAACAGATTTTTCATATAGTTTTATTACTTTGCAGTTTCACTTGGACCCTCTCAGGCTGTGGTGATAACTATTTATTACAGCTGATAAGGATCTAGTTATCAACATGTTGGTGTCGAATTACACAACTGCACTCATGCTTGGCTGTACTATTATTGATCAAGATTATTTTGTTTACTTTTTATTAAAGTTTCATTATTTAAACTAATAAGTTTCTAATTTTTACATTTGATTTACTTTTATAACAATAAATAAAAAATATATACATAAAAATCAAGAAATTTAAATACATCAAAAATTTTGTCTTTTCCAAGCTCTAACTCTTAGTAATAATAATGTGGTATTAGAAATATTTTTTGTAAAATTCAATTATGGAATTTAGAATACAAAATACTTCCATGCATATCAAATAGAATGTCTTAAAAGTAATAAGATTTATCTGGTTTTCTTACTGAGCTAAAAATGGCTTAAATAATTCCCACACCTGTTCAAGCAAAGATCCAACAATAGCAAGCAAAGAAAATGATCTCAAAATATTTAGATTTGCTTATTCTATGGGCTTGAGACCTTGTAGTTGTCAGTAAATGAAATTTTTTGCTTTCTATTGATTACAAATAATCTAATAGAAAATTTTAGGAAGAATTTGACATTTTTTGAAACCAGGATGTGGCATATGACCATCACATTATGACTTTTATCTACCTAAAGGAAAAAGCTTTATTGGTACAAAACGATAGTTTAGTTGGAGGATATGTATAAGTGTGAAATTCCACAGGATGGAGGTCACATATTGATAGAATAAAATCAAAAATGGGTAATTTACAGCAGAAAAAATGTCATAATACAGAAAAGTGAAGATTGAGCATTTATTCAGATATTTCATTTTGAAATTAAAAAATTAAAAGTTATATTAAGATTTTAGTTATAAACAATGTTTTGATGCCAAGTTTGTTGATATAAATTGATAATTAACTTCTCTTCTCCTTCTCTATAATTTGGCAATCTACAGTTACTATAGTTGATCTGGTATGAAGATAGAAATACCTTGTACTTTTATATTACTATTTTTTGAATATTTCCCAAAAGGCTAAGTCCTTATTCATTTTACACTGTAGTTACAATAAATTTCTCTCCAACAGGGTATCTGTCTTGAATAGAATGAGGTTTTATGCTAGTTGGTAAATTGATAAATAAAATTAATTAGAATTGTTATTAAAATTTAGATCATTGTGAAGCACCATGTTCAGTTCCTTTAAAAGAAAGTTTTTAATTTGTCACAAAAAAAAAAAAACGCTATGTAATACAAAGTGAGAATGCAATATACCTCTGAACATAGCAATATCTACTTTAACTATGGGCTGTCTCCTGTACATATCAAGGGTTTTTCAATCAGTTCTATAATATTTATTCTGTGTACAACATTCTAGCTTTATGGAACTGTTATTAAACAAAATGAATTGATATTGTCCCCTGTTTTCACTAGAAGTGAAAGTATTCATAGTTTTATTGATACATGCCATGAGAAGACCTTTAGAAGATACTGAAGGTATACCTTACATCAGAGACAAGCGTATGAAAAATGCTGTCACGGGGAACATCCATTCATTAAAACTGTTTTATTTTTGGTTTTCAGTGAAGAGACAAAAGAAGAGTTTGAAAAGTGGCAAAAATATGATGAAAGCCAAGATAATTTTTGTGAGACTGAAGGTAAGGAAATTTAAGATAATTCATGAAATAAAGGTCAGATCAGTTATTTTTGTCTAGTTTTGAAAACTTGAAATCTCTTTCACACTAAAGCAACAGAACTCATCCAGAGTTCCACACCAAGTGTGTAAAACATGAAAGCCTACCTTATATTAGATGTGACAGTCGTTTTCTGTATTTTAGAGGGATTGAAAGAAATTCAGCTGGATTTCATTATTTACAGATCTAAAAGCAAAGCTAATTTGTGACTTCAATTTATACCTTAAATCAACTGTTCATACAATAGTTATAAGTTTCACTAAAAGTGATAAACAACAGTTTGAATTTGGGTCTTTTGTCTTCAAAAGTAAGTACCTTTTGAAATATTGAAACTAAACTGTGTTCATTGTCATTATTAGCAGTTTATATGATCAGGTAAATCTAATTATTAAGTAATTATTATTAATATTAGCTACCAATGAGTTTGAATCCCAGATTTCAGCTGATAATCTGCTGCTGTCTTCAAGGAAGTTCTGAGAAGGAATGTTTGTGGTGGTAGGTACTGGGATTTGATCCCAGGTCTTCTTCTTAGAAAGCTTACAGTCCTTAGGACTTGTCTGAAGAGGGTAGAAGATTAACAGTTGAAACATAAAATTTAGACAAATTATTAATTAGTATCTAGTAACATAGTTTGTCATGGTTAGTAACCCATACTATGATTTAGATCCTATTACCCCAGCCTTACTGTAAGTTCATAAAACATTTTTTTTACTTCTATCATAAGGTTATTTTTCACACCTGTGGAATTTAGCACAAACACCAGATGCTAGTTTTGAGTGCAGTTTTATGAGAAACTTGTATGTTAGATATAAAAACAAAAAGAGGCTTGATTGAAATAATCTTTTGAATATTCATCAGTAAACCTTTCAGTGTATGGCACATGGTGATATGGACAGTTCTGTGTGTTTTTGTAACCACAGTTAATGATGTGAAGTAAGCATTACCAAAACCAATGTATGTTAGTCATTTTTTAAAACTTGCTTATATCTGTATTAAAGCAATTTCTTTCAGTTTTTTAAGGATTTTGACTACATTTCAGGTGAGTCTCTTACAGACGTAAAGTATGTAGACCTTCATCGAAATCCAGAGAGATTTACAGGATACAAAGGTGTATCTTCTCACCGTGTCTGGAAGAGTATTTATCAAGAAAATTGCTTCAAGTTAGTATAGTTGTTTGAATAGTTGGCTGTAACAGCACTTGTCTCGAGTAGTTGGACAGTTATTTACTTCTGAGCAATTTTAAGCAGTGTAGATTGATTTAATGTTTTTATAGACTGTATTACATGTAATGAACAACTGTTGTAAGCATTTGAAATTTACATAGAAAGGAAAACTAACAAGGAAATTCTGAAATCTAATAAGGTAAAGACAATAGCTGGATATGCATAGTAAACAAAAGATGGACTACTTTTAGATCTAAGAGAAGACTGAATGATATTCTGATGGGTAAAATTGAAGAAAGAAGAGTGAGAAGCAGGCAAGAGACATATTTAGCTTGATGAAATTAGTAACTTTACTGGAGATGAGGAACTTGAATTAGGAAAGCTGGTACGGGTAGTGAGGAATAAAGAATAAGGGAGAACAATATTTGTTGACCCTCAAAATTGATGAGGAAACCATTATTGATTGAATGCCTGGAGTAAGGGGAGAATGGCATTTTTGGTCTCTGTGTTGAGACTCACCAGAGTCTGAAACATTGGCCACTCCTACACGTCATCCAAGTGTAGTCCTTAGAAACTTCAAATACATTAGATTGAACTGACTAAAAAACTGTAATCTCCAGTCTTTTTGTGTTTTTTTTGTGTTACACACATAAGGTGAAAAACCTGTCAACACAAACAAATCTTCCAAAGGAAAATTAAAGTAATAATTATAGGGTTATATAATACTGTTAATTATTCTTGGATTAGATAATCTGGCAGGTATCTCCCAAGCCTAACTTAATCTTGTGAAGCTGCAAAAAATGTTTGACAACTTATTTTGGGATAGTGGATTTTTCTTTACAATGGAACTTATGAACACTCTGGGTTGGTAAATTATGTTCCAGAAATATTCCCTGTATTCAATTTACCGTTAAAAGCTTGTATTTGCCTAAAAGATTTGTATTTTTTTAATTTTATGAATGACATAACATAATTGTGTTGCAAAATTCATTCCAGAATATCGTGTTTTTTTATTATTACATTACATGACGAACCTTTAACTATTCCAAAATATCATGTTTTTTTATTATTACATTACATGACGAACCTTTAACTATTCCAGAATATGATGTTTTTTTTATTATTACATTACATGATGAACCTTTAACTATTCCAGAATATGATGTTTTTTTATAATTACATTACATGACGAACCTTTAACTATTCCAGAATATCATGTTTTTTATTATTACATTACATGATGAACCTTTAACTATTCCAGAATATGATGTTTTTTTTATTATTACATTACATGATGAACCTTTAACTATTCCAGAATATGATGTTTTTTATTATTACATTACATGATGAACCTTTAACTATTCCAGAATATCATGTTTTTTTATTATTACATTACATGACGAACCTTTAACTATTCCAGAATATCATGTTTTTTATTATTACATTACATGATGAACCTCTAACTATTCCAGAATACGATGATTTTTGTTATTATTCCAGTATGTAATGATTTTACTTTTAATTTAGATATGTGACATTCTTTTTTAATCAGTATTTGATGATCCTTTTTTATTTTTTATTCCAGTACATGATTTTTCAAACTTTCAGTATATGAATGGTTAACATATCTTTGGATATTTCTGGTGATCACTGTACTTTTGTTGTTTTGTGGTTTAAAAGAAATGTTTAATATCTTTTAAAGAGCCAACTAAGATTTAATGCCAACAATTAAATCGACTTAGGCCTTAAACAAATTTTGTGTAAGATTTCAAATCATAGTCTACAAAGTTAAAGGTTCTAATTATCAATAGCCTTTGTGCATAAGTAAAGACTATGTTTTGTAGGCACTGATGAACAGGAAGTAGTATGTCATTCCAAAACAATAAAAATAACTGTGTTAGAATTTATAAATACAGGAAAATATTTATAATTCTTTAAGCTCTGCTGTCCTGTTTTGTAATGTTATGTAAGCTGTACAGCTGAAATAAAGTTGTATTTATACCCATATTGATGTTACAGTGATACCTTATATTTGGACATTGTATTTTTTCACCTCACAGGCCAGATCATGAGCATGGACCTTTTACCACTTCCAAAAATCTTGGTGGTAAGTTCTTGTATATATCTTCAGAAGTTAGATTATTTTTTCAGCTGTTGCATTTTTTAGCTGGAAAGGGCTAAACATTTTGTTATTTAGTGAAAATAATATTTTTCTTTCCTAATTTCCCTTTCTTTACCTGGATTATTAATCAAATATGTTTTAGTTTAATCTTTTTTACTTGCATCTTGAGAGGTTTTGAATTACTTAAGTAATAAACATTCAAATATCAAATTCACTATAGAACACCAGAAAAAAACTTCCATTTGTGGGCCAATGTATCCATAACAATGATGGAAAATATGAATGTCAACTTTTCCGTAAGATAATATTCACAGGATTATATTTCAACATTGAAAAGTATATATATCATTTTTAAGAAAACTTGATTAAAATACTGGTTTATCAAGCATATGAGCTAAACAGTAAATATGAATTTTTTCATAGAGAGAGATAGAAAATATTGAAGAATTCTTAATAATAATTCATTTTCCAACACTGATTATAAATCAAATATTGCATGATTATATTAATAAGACAGTCCTTTCTATATCAGCCAATCACAATGTACCAAAACAAATAATTACTTGTGTTATACTCTTTACTGGAAAACAGGCAATTCTGATTAGAAACCATTTGAAAAAGTTGTGTTCTTGAGGATATGCTTAAGGACATAACTTTTTTAAAGGAGTTGTCATATGTATGTTTAAGCTTGTATGTAAGACTACAGAATTTTTTAGATACAAGGATTGAATGAGTGCATATAAAACTTCTAATGTGGTGTATGAATAAAAATTTCCTAAATGTAATTTTGGTAATAAGATTATTGTACTACTGTTAACAGCATGTATTCAAGAACATACCAGTTTGAGATCTAGATACTTTAGTATTATGAGACAAACCCAAAAATGGAGAACAATCCTAAATTCTTGCAAGGGGCAACTGTGAACACCGTTTGAGAATAAATAAAAGTCTATTAATCGATAGATTCTAACCTGACCAAATGAGCAGAGTGGTGTTGCCCATTTATTATTGAATCTGGTATAAAGCTAAATAACATATGATGCTATTTTAATTTCTTTAACATGTTTTTATACATTGTTAGTTTACTATTAGCTGGTATAAAGCTAAATAACCAGTGCTATTTTTGTAACATATGGTGCATTAGTAGTTTAATATGAGCTTGTATAAAGCTGAATAAACAGTGCTGTGACATTAGTTTTTTTTACCATATTCTTGTATGTTGTTAGTTAAGTATGAACTTGTATAAAACTGAACAAATAGTACTGTGGCATTAGTTTTTGTACTATATTCATGTACATATGAGTTGGTATAAACCTTAATATACAATGTTGTGGCATTAATTTCTTTTTACCATATTCTTCTATGTTGTTAGTTTAGTATGAGCTTGCATAAAACTGAACAAACAGCAGTGTTGGTTTAGTTTTGTTTTAATAATATTATAATATGAATTAGTATAAAATTGATTAAACAGTACTGTTGCTCTAGTTTTTGTTCCATCTTTGTTGTTATGATAGTTTAATAAGAGCTGGTATAAAGCTTAATAAACAGTACTGTTGCTTTGCTTTTTGTTCCATGTTTGTTGTTATGCTAGTTTAATAAGAGCTGGTATAAAGCTTAATAAACAGTACTGTTGCTTTGCTTTTTGTTCCATGTTTGTTGTTATGCTAGTTTAATAAGAGCTGTTATAAAGCTAAATAAACAGTACTGTTGCTTTGCTTTTTGTTCCATGTTTGTTGTTATGCTAGTTTAATAAGAGCTGGTATAAAGCTAAATAAACAGTACTGTTGCTTTGCTTTTTGTTCCATGTTTGTTGTTATGATAGTTTTATAAGAGCTGGTATAAAGCTAAATAAACAGTACTGTTGCTTTGCTTTTTGTTCCATCTTTGTTGTTATGCTAGTTTAATATAAAATGGCATTCATTAACATTGTAATATTAAATTTTGGTGAGGATGTTCAAATATTTATAATACATTGTGTACAGTATATGATATAAGGGGATGATAGGAGGTCCTTTTATGTTTCCTCACGAAATGAGAAATCTACTTTATCAAAGTAGTTTTACTATTCTTAAAAAGTAAATTCTCAGTAAGTCACTGATAGGTGTAGTTGTTTGTATTCGTAAGTTTTTATTTTTATCATTTTATTTAGACCAGTGATTTACTGGTGAAGCCTGGTAGTTTAATTATCCAAATTTTAAATGTTTTAAACATTAAAGTCATTTGTCATAATTGTTTTTAAAGTTTAACCCTACAGAGATGGGCTTGGTCGATTTGACTGACCTTGTAACCATCATATATCTATAAAATTATTCATGTTATGACTTCAAAATATTTTGGTAGACTTTTAATGAACATTATAGGTATATAAAGTATTATAAAAAATCCCCAAAATAATTTATCTGGCTTTTTGTCTAACCTATAAATAGGATAAAAAGAAATTTCATTGCTACTCAGAGCTATCTTTAGTTTAAACACTTCAAGTTCTTTACATAAGATATAGGTTTTGACCATTAAAAAAACAAAACAGTTGTCTCATTTGTATAGTTTATGATGTACTTATTCAATAACAATGTCAGAGAGAATGATATACACTTCTTTAAAGACAGAGGATATGGCAAGGTTGTGTCATGTAAGTTTAGTAAATCTTGTGATATCTAAGTAAAGCAAGAAGATAAGGGCTGGAAATTTTACATTCTTTTTTGTCAATATCTATAGTGTGTGTTTTTAATTGGTTAAATAATCTTAAGCCTTAAAAAGGAAAGAAACAATATCTAAAGCATAATATATAACAGTAGAGGACAATAAGAGACCTTTTTATTCAACTAGGACATCCTATCAACTAAACACTAAAAATGTAAAGCCAACCCTTAGCATTGAAATATTTATCAAGCTTCCCATAACTCTTTCAACCCGGGCTCAGTTCCTGGGACCTACCTGGTAACCATTTTGTGCTTATTATAGTTTTCATGTTATAACTTTTAAATTAGAAAGCAAATGTTAACGAAATTTGGCAGATTATCAGTAAACATTACGATGATTTCATATGCAAAATCTCTAATTATTTTACTATGTGTTAAGGTTTGTAAAGCAATGTTTCTCTCATGCCTTTTTTTTTCTTTTCACATCTTGCCTATCTATCATGCAAAGTAATTTACATTTTAAGATTAAACATACTTTTATGCATCAGAAAATTTTGAAATTTCACATGTGAAATCTTTATAATGTCCAAATAGTTATCAAACATTACTTAAGAAAAAACTTTATATTTTATCTGTTATTTTCAGTAATTAATCTCTGTATGG